CCTCTCCCACTCCCCCTGCTTGTGTTCCCTCTCTTGCTGTGTCTCTCTCTGTCAAATAAATAAATAAAATCTTAAAAAGAAAAAAGAAAAAAAAACAGTCCGGGGGAATGTATGCAGAATTAATAGCTGGAGCCAGATCTGACAACAAAAACTGGCCTCCGTTTAAGTGACTCCTGAGCAGACAAGGCCTACAAATAGCAAGGAGAGGCTGCTGGTCTCAGTCCATGGTGGTGCACAAAGGCTGTTTTGACTTTTAAAATGTTATACTTAAGACAGAATTCCTTCTAGCAGCTAGGAGACCCAGACTCTGAAACAGCAGAGCAGATCCCTGCCCACTTGTGATGTGGGGGGAAGTTCTACATTCAAAATGGTTCCTTTTGTTCTCTTCCTTGGATTTTGTTTGTTGTTGATTTCTAAGATTCTCCCATTTGAGATTCATTCCTTTGGATATACCCCTTGTTTAAAATGCACAGGAAGTTGCAAAAACAAAACACAAAACAACACGCAGGAGGAATTCATGAGGGTATGTACAAAGGGAAGGTTTTCAGAGAAAGGCCTGGTGAAATAGTGTGTGTGGTTCAGGACAAATTCTTCCCAAACCCCCTGTTCAGAGTTTTGTCCTGAAGCTGCGTGTCCTCAGAGACTTGGATCTGACAGGTTGTAGGAATCCTCCTCTCCCTACCCATAGAAAACTGGTGTAGAGAGACACTAGTTACTGGTGGTGTCCCACCCCGGCTAAACTCTTGGGTTTGCCCTTCTTCAGGTGGTCTGGGCCAAGACAGAGAGGATTGGCTGTGGCTCCCACTTCTGTGAGAAGCTCCAGGGTGTTGAGGAGATCAATATCCAACTGCTGGTTTGCAACTATGAGCCCCCGTGAGTGCCCAGGAATCCCTGGGGGTAGAGGATGGGCAGAGCCAAGGGGAGGGTTGAGTTGGGCAGTCTAAGAATGTGGGGGGTGGGGCGGCCTGGGTGGCTCAGTTGGTTGGGAGACTGCCTCCGGCTCAGGTCATTGTCCTGGAGTTCTGGGATCGAGTCCTGCATCTGCTCCCTGCTCAGCGGGGAGTCTGCTTCTGCCACTGACCCTCCCCCCTCTCATGCTCTCTCTCTCTCTTTCAAATAAATAAATAAAATCTTAAAAAAAAAAAAGAATGTAGGAGGGGGCCACTCCGGGGCCTATTCCCCATACCCGTGGGGGAGCTGCGAGGGCACCTATGGGAGTCTGTTCTCATTGGCCCAGCAAGCTAGTTGGGAGCAAGTTAAGACCCAGGGGTACTTCCGGCCTAGGTATGTGTATGAGGGATAGGGACAGGGGTCTCTAGGGACCGCCCCCGCCCCCAGCATCGTCCTCGCCTCCCGCAGGGGGAACGTGAAGGGAAAGAGACCCTACCAGGAAGGGACTCCGTGCTCCCTGTGTCCCTCCGGCCACCGCTGCGAGAAGTCCCTCTGTGGTGAGTTGGGGGTGGGGTGGGGAGGAGAAGGAAGGGGCGACAGGGGATGCCGACAGAACGGTCCTTAGAGCCTCCCCGGACTCCCGAGCCGTGCACGGGCAGGGGGAGGGGTCTGGCGGGACGCGACCTCCCGCGCCCTTGGCGGGCCCACCCTATCCGGGTTCCCAAGCCCACTTCGCTTTCCTTGCGCACTTTGGCGCCCTGTCATTCAAAGTGACCGGATTTTAACCCTCCGAGCGGACGGTAGGGGACAGAGTGTGCCGGCCCCCGAGCGTAGGGCGAGGTGAGCGTGGCCAGAGGAAAGGGCCCCCGGTGGGGCGGGGCCTAGTGGTGGGCGTGGCCAGGCGGACTTGAAAGGGACGGGCCTGCGACGCGGTGGACGTGTTAGGCACAGGCCTTGAGCTCGAGAGTCCCCTGAGAGTGGTCGTGTGAGTGCGGAGAGGAAGATTTGGACAAGGAGGTGGATAGAGGAGACACTGTTATCATGTTATAATAAAATAACATTTGTTATCAACGAAGGACGTAGTCGCTGGAGGGGATGTGTGTTTGCGTGTCATCATAGGACATTTGGTCGCCTCGCCGTGATTGTGGTGGGGTGAGGGATGTGGGGCCCTGCTGTACACTAACGCCAGGCCTTGTTTCTTGTCAGAACCCGTCAGAGGCCCGGAAGAGGCTCAGGATTTGCCCTACCTGCTAACTGAGGCCCCATCTTCCCTGGCAACTGAGGCTTCAGGCTCTAGGAAAAGCAGTAGCCCTTCCTCCCTGGCAACGGAAACTCCATCCTCCTTGGTAACAGAGGTCTCAGGCCCTCTGGCAACCACGGCTCTACCTGCTGTAGAAACCGAGGCCCCATCTTCCTTAGCAACGGAAGATTCCCCCTCCATGGCAACAGAGGCTCCACCTTCCTTAACAACTGAGGTCCCTTCCTTTTTGGCAACTCACAGCCTGTTCTCCCTGGATGAGGGGCCAGCTACCTTCTCCAAATCAACCCATGATCTCATCTCCAAATTGGCAGACAAAGAGGCCAGCAGGACAAGCGTGCCCTCCAAGAGTCCAGAGAGTTCTCTGCACCCCAAGATATTCTTGACAGGGACACGGGAGCCGCTACCCCACTCCCAGAAGGCGGGCAAGGCTGAGGCCGAGTTGTCTCCTTCCAGTGAGGTCTCAGCCTCAGTTTTTCCAGGCCAGGACCAGACAGGTGAGCTGCCGGCCACACTGGACCACATGGGGCACACCTCCTCCAAGTCCCTGTCCAACTCCCCCAATACCTCTGCCACCGCTAAGGCCGTGGGCGGGCGGACCCTGGCTCTGCAGTCATCTTTAGCAGGTAAGTCCTGTAGCGTTCGTCCCACCTTCCCTCCTTGCCTCCAGAATGTCGGCACCCTGCCCCCAGCATGCACCCTCTGAGTGAGAGCTTCCTCTCTGGCTGCTGGCCCCCCACTTGCATGCCTGGCAGGGAGGGTGGGAGGCCAGGCAGAACTGCGTCCACGCTGAGACAAAGCCTCTCCCTCCCCACAGGTGCAGAGGGCCCTGAAAAGCCTAGCGTCAAGTCAGGGCTAAACTCGGGCCCCGGTCACATCCGGGGCCCCCTTCTGGGACTGCTGCTGCTGCCTCCCCTGGTGCTGGCTGGAATCTTCTGAAGGGGCCGCCACTCAAAGGCAAGGCCTGGTGGGGAGACCCTGGCCTCATGCCCACTCTGGATTGCCTTTCTCCGAGTAAGAGGCCACAGTTTCCTGGGCAGGTCCTGTTCTGTGGCCCCAGTAGCCCCCGGTGACCCCAGCTTCTGGCCAGACTGCAGGCCAGTGCCCTCGTGCCCTCAGGAGGCCTCTATAATGCCAACTGCTGGCACTGCCCCAGGCGTTCCTCTGCCTGGGCGGAGGTCCACCCCTCAGCTAGCTGCAGGTTGTTCTGAGCAGTGTTCCTGTGGCCACTTGGGCTCATTCTCCAGTTGTCCTGTGGCTGTGGTTCTGCTCTTCCAGGGACAGATCTCAGTGCTTCCCAGAAACCCCTTGACCCCTCCTAGTGCCCTGGCTTCTTCCTTAAGCCATCTGAGTCTGACGCTCTTCCCGGGAGGACCTCTTGCCTTCCCAGGCTGAAGAGGTCAGCTGTCCTGCCATCTCCCCCACCCTGCCCCCCACCCCCCAGACAAGATGCTTCTTGGCTGAAGGCCCTCCGGACAGGAAAGGCTAGGAAAGGCTGCAGGAAAGGCTGCGGGCTGTGCCTCATCCACAGATGCCTTGGGGGCATGAGGCCTGCCACCTGGCCCAGACCCCTCCTGCCCCTCCCATCTCAATCCTGGGGCGGGGGGATTCAGGGGAGATCCCTGCCTACCAGGCTTGGGACCGTCTGCCTCGGCAGGTAGGGCGTTCTCCCTGAGTGCCCCCTCCCCCTACTTGCTGGTATAGCTGGGGAGAGGGGTTGTGAGGAGCAGATGAAGGACAAGCCCCACTTGAATGGGGTTCTACACGGCGGGGGGGGGGGGCAGGCAAGGACCAGGGAAGGGAAGCAGCCCCTGACTCCTGAATAAAACCTGTAAGAGTACCGAGTCTCTGTGCTTATGAGGGGTGGCGGGTGAAGAAGGGCTCTTTGAGAGGCCCTGAAGAGGCTCCCCTTCCAGCCCCAGCACCTGCTCCCCCTCCTACACACCTCCTCTCCCCACACACTCCACCTAGTCCTTTGGGGCACCTTTCTTTTCCTTCCTATAAACTGCCCTCCCTCCCCAACTCAAATCTTCAGGCAGCCAGCAGGAAGGAGGAAGGGCCAAGGGCTGACTCCCCCATCTCCAGGGGTCACCCGTGGAGGCTTAGTTGGGTTTTAGACCCAGAATCAAGGAGTGGCATACAGCCTCTTTACAGGGTGCTGCTGCCCGGGCCCATCTGGTACACCAGGCCAGAAGGCTTTGCCAGCCCTGGGTGCTTGGAGGAATCCTGAGAAAGGGTTCTGGAGTCCCAGACACACTCCCCCAGGGGAGCATAGCAGGACTGCGCGGAGCGCTGCGGGGCAGGAAAGAGTGTGTGTGTGTGTGTGTGTGTGTAGATGGACCACGCCAATTATGAAGGGTGTTTAAGAGAGGTCAACTCTTTGGAAAATAAGCCTTTAACTCTTACTTTAATAGGCCCTGTTCTTCATCATAAAAAATATTAAAGGGGCGCCTGGGTGGCTCAGTTGGTTAAGCGAATGCCTTCAAGCGCTGCGGGGCAGGAAAGTGTGTGTGTGTGTATGTGTGTCATAATGTATTAAGATATAACCTAATGATCTAAATTAAGATGTAACTCATTTAAAGTGTACCACTCAATGGTTTTTAGTATATTCAGAGTGGTGCAACCACGAGCACAATTTTAGAACATTCTCAACACCCCAAAAAGAAACTCCTTCCCCATTAGCAGCCACTCTTCATTCCCCTTCCACCCCAAGCCCTAAGCAACCACTAATCTATTGTCTCTATGGATTTGTCTATTCTGACATTTTGTATAAATGGGATCATACAATAGGTGGCCTTTTCTGTCTGGCTTCTTTCACTGAGCATAATCTTTTCTAGATTTATCCATGTTGTAGCATGTGGCGGTATGTTATTCCTTTTTATTACCAAATAATACTCCCTTGTATAGAATACATTTTATTTATCCATTTGTCAACTGGGGGACATGTGGGTTGTTTGTGCCTGTTGGCTATTATGAACGATGCTGCTATAAACATTCACGTAAAAGTTTGTGTGGATATGTTTTCATTTCTCTTGGGTCTATACCTGGGAGCAGTATCATAGGGTAATGCAGTCGCTCTATGCTTAACTTTTTTTAGGAACTGCCAGACTGCTGCCCCATTGCACATGCGTACCAGCAATGTACGAAGGTTTCCGTTTCTCCACATCTTCACCAGCACCCGTATCGGTCTTTTCAAAATTATAGCTATCCTAGTGAGTGTGAAGTAGTATCTAATTGTGCTTTTGATTTTCATTTCCCTGCTTTCTATGGAGACAGTTCTTTTGCCCATTTTTTAACTGGGATGCTTGTCTTATTATTGAGTTATAGGAATTCTTTATGTAGTCTAGATACAAGTCCCTTACCAGATATATAATTTTAAAACATTTTCTCGCATTCTGTGAGTTGTCTTTTCAATTTTTCTTTAGGATGTCCTCTGAACATAGTCTGTTAATTTTGATGATATCCAATTTCTTTCTTTTCTTGTTGTATCTAAGAAACTGTTGCCTAATCCAAAGTCAGAGATTTATGCCTATGCTTTTTTCTAAGAGTTTTATAATTCAATTCTTATATTTAAGCCTTTGATCCATTCTTAGTTGATTTTCATATGTGGTGTAAGGTGGGAGTCCAACTTCATTCTTACGCATGTGAATATCCAGTTGTCCAAGCACTTTTTTGTTGAACGTGATTCTTCCTCCATTCACATGAAGAGAACCCATCCAAGACCAGAAGCAGGGACCTCTTTGGAAGTTCATTTTTGGGGAAACAAGACATGGTGTCCCACACTAGTCAGAAAAGGCTGTGACAAATGGGCAGAGAGGGGATGTGTCAGCACAAGCCCATGAAGATAGGAGGGCACGTTCAGAGGGGAGGGCGGCCGGCACTCTGAGGCCTCAAGGACCAGAGTGGGGAGCACTCTGCTCCAGCACTCTGCTGCGTGGCTCCCGGGCATGTGGGGGCTGGCAAAGCTACAAGAGCTAGAGTAGAACCCAGCAGAGGCCACCACTGCCAGCTGAGGCTTCGTTCACCACAGGGGGCCCCAAAAGGCCAATGAGAGGCCTTCCCAGCTTTGTCCATCAGAACGGGGTTTTCCAGGAGTGGATGGAGACTTACTCCCCACGAGGACATTCCCACTCCTGTCACCCCTCCTTTTGCTGACACCTCAGCTCCCCTCCTACCCCACTCCAACCCCATCTCCTTTATCAGCTAAAAACCCTATCACTCTAGTTCCAAGACTGACAGGGAAATACAAGGTGTTCAAAGGTAGGTGAGACTTTAGCCCTCAAACACAGAAGGGTCCCGCAAAGGGGACATTTCACATGCACAATACCCACATCTGAATACTGAACTGAAAAACATTAGGGGTACAACCTGTACTTTGCTCAACTAAAAACTGAGACAGTATCAGAGGGATTTTCTGGCCATTTCTGGCTGTGGGAGACAGCCTGGGAAGTGCAGCCCGGACCCTGAAATTCACAAGTCCCCAGGTCCTACCCGGGGGCAGCACTGGCTCTCCTCGGGGTGACCGCCACGCCCACCCACAGCCCACTCTTTACCAGAGGAGGCCTCTCCACATGTCTGAGGGGATGGCTGTCAGAGGGAGGGTCTCCAACGCCAGCTCAGCTCAGGTTCCAGAGTGCCCTACTTCTGGGGGACCACAGGAAGGAATCAGTGAAAAAACTAGGATTCGAGGGCAGAGCAACAGGAAGAAAAGTCACCCCCCAACAGTGCTAGGTGGGGGAACCACAGTGCGCTGGAGAAAGGTCACGGGCCGCGAGGCAGCCATGCCTCTGAGGGCCTTCCTTCTCTAAAGAAATGGTGCCAGCCAGGCCAGGCCCGTTCCCCTTCCTCACCTGTGCTCCCCTTCCCAGGCGCTCCGGCAATCTGAAGTGAGTATGGGACCTCAGAGGCCCCAACCAGCGGCCCCTTACAGGACGCCCACACACGCACGCTCCTGCGCTCTCGGGGACCAAGGATACACAAAGTAAACGGCCCTTAAGTCAACGGCTACTAGACCGCTGGGGAAAATCGGTTCTGCCAAAGCACGCCAGGGGGCCTTCCCTGTGAGAAGCAGCACCAAAGTCACCGGACCCCCAACTCTCCGAAACCACTCCCCTAGAACAAGGGCAGGGGAACTCAGGTGGACCCCAACTGGTACTCAGACCCCATCAGATGGAAACCCGTGGTCCCCAGAGGGGTTCCATCCGTAAGTTCTCCTGGTTTTACAAACCCGGTGTTGGGAAGAATTGAATTAAGGGAGCTCTGCCTTTTCCAGAGAAGGCAGAGCTCGGTGCTTTAGCTGGGCCCACTCTACCCCTTCCGCTGTAACCATGCGACCACTATACCAAATGACTCGGCAAAATCCGGGACTGTCATGGGCAAGCAGTGCTGAGCTGACGGGGTGCGGGTGGAACCTTTTCTGAAGCCGGGAGGGCCCCTACAGGCGCTGCCTTCCTGTTCGTAGGCCCATGCCCTAACCGAGGCTTTGTGAGCTGGCATCTTGACCTTGTGTAATTCACAAGATCGTCCACCGGCCTCCCCCGCGGCTGGTCTACACCAAGGCCCGGCACTTGTCATCCCCAGGCTGAGCCGCCCCTGACTCCTTCTCACACCAACACGGAGGGCTGAGGAGGACCCTGCGGATAGCTGCTGCGTCCATAAAAATAACACGCTCCCCACAAAACTCCAAATCACCACCAATACATTTATTTGAGGGAGACAAGGTCAGATCTTATCGGGAACTTTTAAACCGAACAGTACGAGAGACACTGGCCTGCCTAACTTCCGGGTGTTCACAACCACGCAGGGAACCAGATCCTGCACGTAAAGCCTCACCATGAAACCCACGAGCATTTGAGGAGGGAGACACATTCGGAGCAGTCACGTGATTTCCCGTTCAGAAGGTGCCGCTTTTGTGTCTGAGGAGTAGTGTTGAGGAACACGAGGGCAGCACCTCGCAAGAGCTTCCTAGCACAGGCCTGCACATGACGGTGGCCTCGTGCAAGGGGACCATGCCCTATTTACAAAGCAGGAGAGCAGGCTCCCAGCTGAGCTGCAGGATGACGGCTGGGGCTGACTGCGGCGGGGGATGGGTGGGGGGGGGATCTGACTCCGTGAGCCTTTTCCCATCCTACCTGGGCCTCCACGAGCCATTCTCTGGCCCCTTGCACAGGACAGACTCGGCAAATCTGTGAAGGAAGGGGGTTCTGCCCCAGTTCCCTAGCCCCACCCCACCTTCCCCAGGTCTAACAGGTAACCCATCCACTGGGTGCAGCCTCCCCCCGACCCGACCCCCACTGCTGAACAGACACACGGCAAATATGGAAAGTGAAGCCTCGCTGGCCGGGCTGGACTCATCTGACAGGTGCCCAAGGTGATCAGGCCCCACCCACAGTGGCGAGGCTGAGACACGGTGTTTTTTTTCAGGGGATTCAGGTTACTCCAGGGCAAAGCACGATCCTGATGACACCCGGCGGAAAAGCAAGCTGGAGCCGCGGAAAAGCTGGCCCTGGATTGGAAGGAACGGGCAGGTCAGTGACAGGGGAGGCCATCCTTCCCGTCCCACCCCAGAGCAAGGCCAGCATGAGGCAAAGGAGGGGTCCGCAGTGCAGAGACCCTAGGGTCAGGGGTGGAGGGCGTAGGCTGGCAGTCTTAAGAGGGCAAGGTCAGAATATGCCCTGCGCTGAAGCACCAGGGAGCAGTTCACTTCCCGTCACAGGTGTCCAGTGTCGCTGGGGTTCCCCAGTAGGGAACCCCCAAAGAGGACACTCGTCGCCCTTCTGGCTTCAGAGACTTCTGGGACTCCCTAACGCCCATGGGATATGAAGCACGCAGACCTGACTGGAGCCACTGGGAAGAACGGGGTCTGCCTCTCGCCCCCCCCTGCTTCCCTCTCATCTGTCCTCTTCTCAGCCCTGAGGCCTGTCTGTGTGCTGGCTCCTCCCTAGACCACTGCCCCGCTCTACTTCGAGAACCACGGCTAGGCAAAGGCAAGGATCTGCCCTGGGCCAGATGCCTGGATCCTTGACCTCTGCGCCCAAGAGCTCCAGGCCAACAGGAGGGTGCTTGGGCCAAGAACACGAAATCCCGAGACTGGCACCCTTGCCACGTGGCCCAGCTCAAGCCTCAGGTTCTCCTGAGGGCATCGGGATGTCTTGCGGAAGGGAGGGGTCGGCCTTGGACACGGCGGCCACCGTGTTTTCAGCTGTGTTACTCAAGGACTAAGATCTTGGGCTTCACCACCTACTCCGTGGGCTCCCTCAGAGTCCTCCTTCTACGAGTCTTTAAGAGTTGAAGAAGAAAAGGAGACTGTGTCTACTATAAAATCTGTAAGTAAATTGAGATCTAGCGACCTCATGTCCTTTCTAAAATAAAATGAAAATTTAATGAAAATGCCTTAAACCAAGAGTCTATATTCTCTTTATCCTCCCTACGACAATTGGATCCCGTGACAATCTCTCATCTTTCCACTCAATATAAAGCCCACAAAACCATCTGACCTGATTGGTGTGGGGGAAGAATGGGGGGGTGGGGGGACCTTCTCTGTTGGGAGCTTGCTTACCTGCACGCTCAGGTATTTCCAGCAGTGGATCCAAGACTTGAACACGGGGGAGTACGGGGGCAGCCCGGCCTGCAGCCTGCCCAGGAAGGAGAGCATGTTAGACCCACCGAACGATGGGAGATGGCTCAGCCAAGGCAAAGGCGATCTCAAGGAATGGCTTGGAGCTGCCACCACCCATATCCCGAATCACGGATGCAGCCCAGAGGGGCGCGGTGAATCCCAGAAGACGCTAGGGTACCTGGCGGTCGGGGGGGTTGGTGAGCCTACACACAGACCAGGCGGGAGAAAGCAGAGCACTGGACAGGCTGAGCTAGACGCCCCCAGCCCCCACAGCCCTGGCAGGGTGCCCGGGGGGAGGGCTGCACACCTACCCGCAGTTGTTCACAGCCATGAGGTCACCAACCAGCAGGAAGGGGTAGGTCAGCATGCTCACTGCAATCTGAAACCCAGGGAGACCTGAGTGGCAGTGACCCCGCCACCACCGGTCCCGACTCGGGGAGCGAGGGCATGCCGTGCCAACACCCGACACCCAGGCGTGCCTCCAGCCACCGCTAGAGCTGGCCGCCTAGGCCCCGCCCAGGCCCACAGGGCAGCTAGCTGAGCCAGCGTGACTTACCCCCATCACAAATTTGGTGTAGCTCCGGATGGCCAGGGCCTGGCTGAACTGGAGACAGACAGGAAGACTAGTTTGCTACAGGTACCTCGGGCTGCCCTTCAGGTAAGCACCCTTGCCCCATGCTGCCTGGTCTGCGGCCCCCCAGCCTCACCCCGTACGCCGGCCTCACACCCCCTCTGGGCTCAGGTCCCCTCACATTGCTGCGTATACTGCGTTCCCTTCTAGGGCCTGCCAGTGGCTTCTGTGGCCTTGAGCCAGAGCCAAAAGCAGCCCTGGGAGGCAGCAAAAGGTGAGGGGAAACTCTAAGCTTACTGCCACCCCCCTACCTTACCAAGCCCTCATCCCCCTCGGACTCCCAAGATGTGGATTCTACTTTGCCCAGAAGAGAGCCCCTCGCCAGGAAGGGGGAACTCCCTGTCCCTCAGCTTCCAGCGGCATGGCCATCCTAACAGGTGTCTACCCTGTAACCTTGGATGGAGGCTTGCCCAGCCCTCTGCGTGAATGGCAGCCTCGTCTTAGCCTTTAAGCCACACACAGAAGAGCACTTGAAAACCCCTTTCCATAAAGCTGGAGAAAGCCAATCAGCTGTGGGACACCCCACCCCCAGTGTCACAGGCTTGCTGTGCGTGTGACAGCAGCAGCTCCCCCATCCACGAGGCCCCAAGAAAGGGCAGGGCCCGGGATATGTGGGAGAGCTGGTCTCTAAGGAACCACCTGAATTTGCTTACACTGAAAGGCCAATAGGACTCACCTACCCAAGTCAAATGGCCAGACCCGATTTCCCTCTGAGCAGAGGCTCTTAGCTGGGGTGGGACATTCTTCACCACACAGACACATGCCCAGACACAGACGGATGCAGACTATGAGCCCCCACCCCACCCCCCGAGGTGATTCTGACAAGACAGGTCCCCGCCCCCCATCCTCCTGGGCCTGCAATCCCACTGTTAGAATGTCTGGCTACCAGGAATCCCCTGCCCATCACTGCTCCCCAACTCTTCCTGTTTCAGGCTGAACCAGTCAATCCATCAGGTCCCTAGACACCTTTCTTAAACAAGGACCTTTTAGAAGGACCAACGCCTCCTCATGCCTGACCCAGCCTGCTGAGGTCTGTGCAGACCACTGCTAACAAAAATAGTGGGGTGCGCCTTCATTGGACCCTTGCCAGGCGACCTAAAAAGCCTCAAGGCGGGGGAAGCGCCCTTGGCCCAATACAGGGAAAGACCTAGTCCTAGCCCTGTTGATTCCTAGCCAAGTGCCTCAGGAGAGCCTTTTGATCTCTGGGTCTCAACTTCTTTACCAGTAAAATTACACCTGCACCGTTCCCTTCACAATTGGGGTGCTGTTGGAATCAAATGTCATAATGTTCACATAAGGGTTCTAAAAAGCTTAAAACATTAAGCAAAAGTTAAAGGGTTATTAGCTAGTCTGTGTCCTGGTTTCCTGATTCATCGTTGGGTCATTGCCTCGGATAAGCTGGGGGGTCTGTTTTATTTCTGAAGCTGCCCAAGGACGGGCATTCCATGAACTCCTCCAGGTCTGGTTATGGATCTTGAATCTCCTCTCTCTTGAGCCCACTCTCCCCAGAGGCAAAGCTAACCCCAGGACAAAAGGTCCTTTAAGGGGGTGCTGGGTGGCTCAGTCAGTTAAGCCTCCAACTCCATGCCTCCATGGCCATGGCTCAGGCCATGATCTCAGTGTCCTGGGAATTGAGCCCCGTGTCGGGCTCCAAGCTCAGCAGGGAGTCTGCTTGGGACTCTTTCTCCCTCTGCCCCTCCCCCAGCTCATACTCTCTAAAATAAATAGATAAATCTTAAAAAAGGGGGGGTCCTCTTAGACCACTCCCCAGAGACCCTCTCTAGCCCTCAGGGCCTGGTGCTAATGATCCCAGGGTCCTGAGTCTGCCCCAGACCCTGCATATAAGCAGTACACGGAAAGATTGACAAGTCCTTGTTCCAACCAACCTGGGAACCTGGATTCTGGTCGTTTCCCAGCCCCCCTGGGGTGTCACTCACGCTGTCATCCACCAGGTAGGCATTGATGAAGTGGGCCAGCAGGTTACAGCCCCACAAGAAAACCACATCTCCCAGGAGGTGAGGGATTAAGCCGCTAAAAAACAAGGTGAGCAAAGATGAGCAGGGGGAGGGAGGGGACCATTTCTTGGGGGCTCCATGCCCAGGAAGGAGGCAGGGATGTTCCAAGCTCAAAACGTCAGCATATCCAAGGTACAGCTTCAGGAAAAAAGCCTGCAAGGGGCCACACGGACCTGCAGCTATCCACATCAGGAAGGCCGTGTCCTCTTCTCCGTGGGGGGTTGTCACAGGCCACATCTGATGCCACAAATTAGTTTCTGGTTTCACAAGTGGTTTTCGAACCAGACGCCAGACCTCAAAACATGAATGTTGCTAAATCTGGGATTTTCACATGCAGATTATGAGACAGGGTCTACACATTTATAGTTTTCTCCTGGCCTCTTTACCTGATCCACTCTCACAAAACACTTTGCTTGATGCATCTGTTGTCTTCATCCCTAGAATGTTCCACTGAAGACATTCCATACAAGCTTTTGCAAGGAAGGCTGACTGTTAAAGTGATGGCCCTCAGAAGAAACAGCCCTCCACACTGCTATGGAAGGTCCCGAAAATACAGGCAAAAAGCCAGCCTGAGATCAGTGGGTCCCATGTGCTACTGGTGTTTCTTTTAATGTGTTTATTTGCTTGTTTAGATATGGAGCGACTTAGAAAACTCTCCAGGAGAAGAGTGGCTATCTCTTGGGAGGGGTGGCAGAGATTTCTGAGATCTGTGAAACTCTTATTTGAAAATACCTGAAGAGCTCAGAAGAATATACGCAACCCATCTAGGTGATAAGGGATATGAAGAAACTGAAACTTCACGAACGCAATCCCCAATCTTGATGCGTCCACCTGTGTTCAGATGAACCCCTCACACACACTCTGGTGCCCTCTCGGTGTTGTAACTCATACAGGTGTCACCCAGGCCACAAATATGTGACGAACAGAACCCGACGAGGAGGCATGTGCTGTGTCAGAATCTCTTCACACCCGGGACGAGGACTCTACACAATGAGCGTGAAAACTGCGAGATGTGGCGACTCGTCATCTTATGGTCTGAAGTACCCGTCACACGAGCAAACACTTATCCCTGTGTATTTATACATCTATGTATGTACGCATATATATGCATGAATACATTGAGTGTGAGTTCGTGTGTGTGTGTGCGTGTATTAATCAAGGTTTGGAATCCTGGCACTCCCGACACGGAGGACCGGACAGGGCCTCGCTGCGGGGGGCTGACCCCTGCACTGCAGGATCCCTAGCAGCCCCCCTGGCCTCTCCCCACTAGCTGCCAACTGTGACAACCAAAAGATGTCTCCAGACATTTCAAGTGTTCCCCAGGGGCAAAAATCCCCTCCCGGTGAGAACCATATAGTAGATATGCCCATACACACACGTGCACCTACATGGTCATTTCTTGGTTAAGTGAGATCCTAAATAAACACCCCTGACCAACTACGAAACCACAGTGAATGAACAGAGAACACCATTATCCAGTATGTTATGTACCTAACAGTGTGTCTGTCACCGCCCAGACCTTAACAAGGCAAAACAACAGCAAGTTGTCGGGAGTGGCTTTGGGGTCTGCTTGTGTCCGGACACAGTCTTTTCAGTATAAGCTTTCTGTGTTACAGGTGACGTAAGGTGAGTGGGAGACACCCAGGAGGGCAGGGGTCTGTGAGTCTCAGGAGGCGATGGGCCCCTGCCACGGACCGCTCTGCACAAACACAGGCCCAGCAGAACGGTGTCTTGACCTTTTAGGAGAAGCCAGAGATCCAGATTGTTCTGTGCAACACCTGCCATGTTAAACACAGTGCCCTGGCTTAGGAAGATCAGCCCACTCCCAACCCCAGGGCCAAGGGACAGTGTCAGGCGAAGGGGCCAGTCAGGCCGTCTCCCCCATGTGCTGGACAAACAGGACCATGTCTGTGTGAGCCGTGATCTGCAAAGGGCAAGCAGCTTTGGTCCCGGTCATCCGCGGCTCACACGTGCCACGGAGCTCCACGGAGCTCCACGGAGCCGGATGCAGCTACGTGGGAGGGGCAGACCCCGGGGTTAGTCTGAGCCCGCAGCTACGGCCTGAGAGGTCGAGAACGTGTCTGTTAGTAGAGCTGTGCCACATGGCCAGCTACGGGGTATAGAAACTCACGTACACAAAGAATCCCAGCAGCCCCTCCTCTTTGAAAATCTTCCCAATGGAGCTCAGCACACCGCTGTGAAGAAGGGAAGACAGGGATATGAGGTCCCCCGGTCACCTTGGAGAAGCCCAGCCCCCGGTGTGGAGGAGAGCCCACCATCCCTGCTCTGAGCCGTCTAGTCCTGGCGGGGATGGGGAAGGGATATTCTCCGTTACCAGGGAGAACCCAAGTACAGAAGATGAGAGAGGGCGCTTGGGTGGCTCAGTTGGTTGGGCGGCTGCCTTCGGCTCAGGTCATGATCCTGGAGTCCCTGGATCGAGTCCTGCATCTGCTCCCTGCTCAGCGGGGAGTCTGCTTCTGCCACTGACCCTCCCCCCTCTCATGCTCTCTCTCTCTCTTTCAAATAAATAAATAAAATCTTAAAAAAAAAAAAGAATGTAGGAGGGGGCCACTCCGGGGCCTATTCCCCATACCCGTGGGGGAGCTGCGAGGGCACCTATGGGAGTCTGTTCTCATTGGCCCAGCAAGCTAGTTGGGAGCAAGTTAAGACCCAGGGGTACTTCCGGCCTAGGTATGTGTATGAGGGATAGGGACAGGGGTCTCTAGGGACCGCCCCCGCCCCCAGCATCGTCCTCGCCTCCCGCAGGGGGAACGTGAAGGGAAAGAGACCCTACCAGGAAGGGACTCCGTGCTCCCTGTGTCCCTCCGGCCACCGCTGCGAGAAGTCCCTCTGTGGTGAGTTGGGGGTGGGGTGGGGAGGAGAAGGAAGGGGCGACAGGGGATGCCGACAGAACGGTCCTTAGAGCCTCCCCGGACTCCCGAGCCGTGCACGGGCAGGGGGAGGGGTCTGGCGGGACGCGACCTCCCGCGCCCTTGGCGGGCCCACCCTATCCGGGTTCCCAAGCCCACTTCGCTTTCCTTGCGCACTTTGGCGCCCTGTCATTCAAAGTGACCGGATTTTAACCCTCCGAGCGGACGGTAGGGGACAGAGTGTGCCGGCCCCCGAGCGTAGGGCGAGGTGAGCGTGGCCAGAGGAAAGGGCCCCCGGTGGGGCGGGGCCTAGTGGTGGGCGTGGCCAGGCGGACTTGAAAGGGACGGGCCTGCGACGCGGTGGACGTGTTAGGCACAGGCCTTGAGCTCGAGAGTCCCCTGAGAGTGGTCGTGTGAGTGCGGAGAGGAAGATTTGGACAAGGAGGTGGATAGAGGAGACACTGTTATCATGTTATAATAAAATAACATTTGTTATCAACGAAGGACGTAGTCGCTGGAGGGGATGTGTGTTTGCGTGTCATCATAGGACATTTGGTCGCCTCGCCGTGATTGTGGTGGGGTGAGGGATGTGGGGCCCTGCTGTACACTAACGCCAGGCCTTGTTTCTTGTCAGAACCCGTCAGAGGCCCGGAAGAGGCTCAGGATTTGCCCTACCTGCTAACTGAGGCCCCATCTTCCCTGGCAACTGAGGCTTCAGGCTCTAGGAAAAGCAGTAGCCCTTCCTCCCTGGCAACGGAAACTCCATCCTCCTTGGTAACAGAGGTCTCAGGCCCTCTGGCAACCACGGCTCTACCTGCTGTAGAAACCGAGGCCCCATCTTCCTTAGCAACGGAAGATTCCCCCTCCATGGCAACAGAGGCTCCACCTTCCTTAACAACTGAGGTCCCTTCCTTTTTGGCAACTCACAGCCTGTTCTCCCTGGATGAGGGGCCAGCTACCTTCTCCAAATCAACCCATGATCTCATCTCCAAATTGGCAGACAAAGAGGCCAGCAGGACAAGCGTGCCCTCCAAGAGTCCAGAGAGTTCTCTGCACCCCAAGATATTCTTGACAGGGACACGGGAGCCGCTACCCCACTCCCAGAAGGCGGGCAAGGCTGAGGCCGAGTTGTCTCCTTCCAGTGAGGTCTCAGCCTCAGTTTTTCCAGGCCAGGACCAGACAGGTGAGCTGCCGGCCACACTGGACCACATGGGGCACACCTCCTCCAAGTCCCTGTCCAACTCCCCCAATACCTCTGCCACCGCTAAGGCCGTGGGCGGGCGGACCCTGGCTCTGCAGTCATCTTTAGCAGGTAAGTCCTGTAGCGTTCGTCCCACCTTCCCTCCTTGCCTCCAGAATGTCGGCACCCTGCCCCCAGCATGCACCCTCTGAGTGAGAGCTTCCTCTCTGGCTGCTGGCCCCCCACTTGCATGCCTGGCAGGGAGGGTGGGAGGCCAGGCAGAACTGCGTCCACGCTGAGACAAAGCCTCTCCCTCCCCACAGGTGCAGAGGGCCCTGAAAAGCCTAGCGTCAAGTCAGGGCTAAACTCGGGCCCCGGTCACATCCGGGGCCCCCTTCTGGGACTGCTGCTGCTGCCTCCCCTGGTGCTGGCTGGAATCTTCTGAAGGGGCCGCCACTCAAAGGCAAGGCCTGGTGGGGAGACCCTGGCCTCATGCCCACTCTGGATTGCCTTTCTCCGAGTAAGAGGCCACAGTTTCCTGGGCAGGTCCTGTTCTGTGGCCCCAGTAGCCCCCGGTGACCCCAGCTTCTGGCCAGACTGCAGGCCAGTGCCCTCGTGCCCTCAGGAGGCCTCTATAATGCCAACTGCTGGCACTGCCCCAGGCGTTCCTCTGCCTGGGCGGAGGTCCACCCCTCAGCTAGCTGCAGGTTGTTCTGAGCAGTGTTCCTGTGGCCACTTGGGCTCATTCTCCAGTTGTCCTGTGGCTGTGGTTCTGCTCTTCCAGGGACAGATCTCAGTGCTTCCCAGAAACCCCTTGACCCCTCCTAGTGCCCTGGCTTCTTCCTTAAGCCATCTGAGTCTGACGCTCTTCCCGGGAGGACCTCTTGCCTTCCCAGGCTGAAGAGGTCAGCTGTCCTGCCATCTCCCCCACCCTGCCCCCCACCCCCCAGACAAGATGCTTCTTGGCTGAAGGCCCTCCGGACAGGAAAGGCTAGGAAAGGCTGCAGGAAAGGCTGCGGGCTGTGCCTCATCCACAGATGCCTTGGGGGCATGAGGCCTGCCACCTGGCCCAGACCCCTCCTGCCCCTCCCATCTCAATCCTGGGGCGGGGGGATTCAGGGGAGATCCCTGCCTACCAGGCTTGGGACCGTCTGCCTCGGCAGGTAGGGCGTTCTCCCTGAGTGCCCCCTCCCCCTACTTGCTGGTATAGCTGGGGAGAGGGGTTGTGAGGAGCAGATGAAGGACAAGCCCCACTTGAATGGGGTTCTACACGGCGGGGGGGGGGGCAGGCAAGGACCAGGGAAGGGAAGCAGCCCCTGACTCCTGAATAAAACCTGTAAGAGTACCGAGTCTCTGTGCTTATGAGGGGTGGCGGGTGAAGAAGGGCTCTTTGAGAGGCCCTGAAGAGGCTCCCCTTCCAGCCCCAGCACCTGCTCCCCCTCCTACACACCTCCTCTCCCCACACACTCCACCTAGTCCTTTGGGGCACCTTTCTTTTCCTTCCTATAAACTGCCCTCCCTCCCCAACTCAAATCTTCAGGCAGCCAGCAGGAAGGAGGAAGGGCCAAGGGCTGACTCCCCCATCTCCAGGGGTCACCCGTGGAGGCTTAGTTGGGTTTTAGACCCAGAATCAAGGAGTGGCATACAGCCTCTTTACAGGGTGCTGCTGCCCGGGCCCATCTGGTACACCAGGCCAGAAGGCTTTGCCAGCCCTGGGTGCTTGGAGGAATCCTGAGAAAGGGTTCTGGAGTCCCAGACACACTCCCCCAGGGGAGCATAGCAGGACTGCGCGGAGCGCTGCGGGGCAGGAAAGAGTGTGTGTGTGTGTGTGTGTGT